ATATCAAACTATACTTCACAAATATTTTGAAAAATTTTCTTCAAAAACTCAATTTTTTTTCTATAATAAATAATTATAGACTTAAAAGCTCTGAATTCACGATTTTCTGTGTATTTAAAGATAGCGCACGCAATATACTCCCAGCATGCACAATATGTCTTGTCAGCGTTTGCGGTTTCGTCCATTTAGCGAGGTTTCGATGTTTCAATGTTTAAACAGGACCAACCGGCCGCCAGGACTCGAGGGGGTGACGGACGACCAGACGCAGGTGCATTGTAAATCATTGCCTCTGCCCGCTCATGCAGGCCGCATCTGCGATGCCGCAATTTTCCCGGGACACGGTCAAAACTACCCAACTTGTTAGCAATTTTTCAAACTCAAGCACTTAACAAAAAACTTGAGAAACACGCGCTAATTAAAGTGGAAATTATTTTCAAATTTTAATTACGCAGAAATGAGAGTAAATTCTAAAGTAATGAAGATTATGCAAAATGTTTGTGTGGAACATTTAGTAGTTTTTTGCTCAAGTTGCAAAAAGTTACAAAAAAACTTGCAAAATGTTTCTTTTTAAGTAAGGATGCGGATGATGTACGTTGTAATTGAAAAATTCAACGGGCACATGTTGTACTAACAGGACTTGCTTTAAAAATTACGAGGGTATATTAAAGACATTAGTTATCTCAATTTTTTAAAGATAATTTTTAGTTTTTTTGAGAATTTTGATTAAAACCAAAAAAAAATATTTTTAAAATTTTATTCTTTAATATTTTTGACAAAATTTCTTAAACATTAATTATTATAACTTTATGTAGACCAAAAAGTATTTTTTTGTTAAATTATTGTAAATGTTGTTTGGTTCGCCACACAACTTGACTTTGACTCTGAGTCTGCAGGTTTAATCGGTCGAGCGCTGTTTGCACACCTTGGTGCGCTCCGAGTGTCGAATTGTTGACGCTCGACGGATGAAAGGATAATGCAGGATAACGCAGGATAACGCGGGATATCCGCGCCACGACGCGCATTAGGCAAATGCGCAAATTTGATAACCGTAACCGAGAAACAAGCAAGATCCGTTGCAGAATAACATTATATTACAAATATCTCTATATACTCCTACTATAAGGATCTATCAAGGATCTACCCATAACATACCACACATATTTCCCGCCTATATAAAGAAAACAATAAATTTATCCCAATATTATCTGTAGACTTTTTGTTTTTTTGCTTTTTAAATTTCATCATAAAGAAATAAGGACCAATAAAACGGACATAGAGAGACAGGATATGAATTTATGCTCGGCGTTTTCCTACTTTTTAATATGTGAGGAATGTCTCCATATCGACATATTTCGAAACATCTGCGTGCCGCGCTACAAAATACAAAAAAAGCAGCAAAAAAATTGTCGATCGACTCCGCAGCTACAAAGCACGCTGGAAAATCTCCACGAGATGGAAAATTGGTTGAAAATCTGACGAAAAATGCCTTTCTCGGCAACGGCCGCAACAAAAAAGCTGCCACGAGGAAAGTTTAAAGTTAAAGTTGCAAAAGTATTGGCTGAGATTTTTTCTTTTGCCGCGCCGCGCGAGTTTTCACAACGGCGGAAAATTTTCTATAAGTTGGGGCGCGCGAGTTTAAAAAAAAGTGTAAATGGAAATTCGAGTGGAAGTCGAAGAATGTCGAGCGGTTACCAGCCGGTGAGCAAGAAAAGTCTTGGAAAGCCAAGGCGTCGAGGAAGTATGGATGAATAGAAAATAATTTGTCAATGAATAAATTTATTTATCATACAATATTTCCAAAAATAACTAAAAATAAAATAAAAATTAAAAATAAAAAAAATAAATTAAAATTGTTTTAGGTTATTAAACAATTTAGGATGTAATAAATTAAGTAGAAATGTTTCAAAATTACTAATATCATAAATATCTCATATGATGTACGCATACTCGTACAAGTCTCTTGACTTGCCGAATGTTGCGAGTTTTGAGGTTCTTGGTGGTAAAAACTTTGAAAGTTAATCGTGGCAACGCCGAGAGGTGAGAGCGAGCGCGCGCGGTGAATTATAGTGAATTCTGAATTCTAAATCTTGTTGGCCGGATGTGGAAGTGGATGCGGGCACGTTTCGAGCTTCAATCTTACGAGAAACTTAAAATATGAGCGAGGGCGAATGTATATTTCGCTTGTTGCAGGAGTTAAAGTAGATAAAGTGGTATTAAAACTAGGTCTAATTTTAAACTTTCACAAAATTCATTTATTTAATTACAAATATTACTTTTGCATATTTTTCCTACATGAATTTAAATTTTAGTGTCGAAATAATTTAGTCAATTATGTAATTTTCCACTCAATGTTTCAGCCACACTTTCACTTGCTTGCTCGTCGTGTAATACTAACAATTCGAGTGGGAATTGTGTGCGAGTTTAAACACAGCGTTTTGTCTCTTGGCTTCAGCGTCGTTTCTGAGCTTTTGCACAGCCGCTGCGCTTTTTGACGTCGAGAGCTCGTTTTGTTCTCGCCTTTTTAGTAAGGCAGCGCACAGGAAACAACGAACTTTGACGCGTCCTCGAAGTGTGCGCCGAGCTGGCGAACGCCGAATGAAATTAAATAAAAGGCACGCCTCGACGACCCCCGTCGCTTTCCGCAAGAATTGTGAATACACACCACGTGCCGCTAGTGTAAATACGACGACGCGGAAGAAAAAAGATGAGAAAAAGACTAAACGAATCGGAAAGTTGAAGTTAATACGGATATTTACTACAAAATCATAAACTTAGATGATGTAAATGTAAATTTTAAGCTATTTAACACCAGATGGCAGTGTATTTACAAGTGATTTATGTAAACTATTGTAGATGGCGTTAGTTGTGAGTTTAAAACATTTTAGTTATTGTTTTGGTAACATCTTCATCAATATCAGCTTCCTCTGTTTGTATTTCAAAACAAGCCATCATCTTGACGCCCTTAGAGGTCCGTGGAGTGCGAAAAGCCTTTCCAATCACGTCATTTGTCAACGCGCGTCCTAATGACTTTGAAAACAAGCGAAAAGTGAAACATAGGCAACACACGCACCACAAAATATTGTTTTTCAGGTTTAAAGGATAAAGATCAATGGAAAAATGTCGTTAAGCAGTCATTTTCACTTGACAAACTTTTGTTAAGAAGTTCAAAAGTTGTGTATTATCTAAGAATAACAATTAACTTTGCAACAATCAGAAATTTTGTCGAAAAACACAAAAACTAGTCTTAAATATCAAAAAATTAAAATTTAGTTCTAATTATTTGTGATTATGAAGGATAATGAATTAGGAAACAGGTGGTACATGACCAGGGCAGCCAAAGGACGCATTAACGCATCCCCGCGCCGATTATGAACGCCTCCGAGCAGTGTTTCGGCGCGACACTAAAACGCTCATTAATCACATCACTCGCTCGCATCCTTTCACCTCGGCCGGCGTGTCCTGACGCCATCCTGGCGCCGGCGTGCATTCATCGCTGAACGCATAATGTGCATTGAGGCCGGAGCACAACATGTGACCGAACGTGGAAATGTGGAAATTTCATTAAATTAATTCGTTGTCCTGGCTCGTCCCGGCCCGGACAAGACCGCGTCGCATTGTTTCCATTTAATAGCGACATTATCGCGGTCGAACGATGGACAAAAATTAATTTATACATTTTGCGAATTCCCAACAGAGTTGACTGTAATAGGACAGTTGTTTAATAATTACAGCAGTAATAATACATTTGTAGGATAATAAATTTTATTTTAAAATTTTTCTATTTTTAGCTTTGAAGTGATGCGATCTTTGAGATTAAGATTCATAAAAATATTTAATCGAAAAGTTTTATTGAGAACATCTGCTGGGAAGCGTCAACGCGTCGCGCTGGATCTAATAATCGAAATTATTGCATCCTTAAAATTTGCGTCGAGAGCTGAATATTTTTACGGGCAATAATAAATTTAATAAAAAATTCAAATCTATTTTTCAGTAAAAAATATAATTTTTAATAAAAATCAATAGTGAAGATAATATTTTAAGCAAATTTGCATGAATTTTTATGTTTTGAAAATTTTAACATATTTTTTTGCGTATTTTTCACTTTCATGTCTAAAAATATAATTTTTAAACTTGTAAATTGTACCTCAACTCAATCAATATAAAAATACCAGATTGTGAACACAAATAAATCGAATTCAACAAAACTGACATAAAAATTTCATCGCAAATAAAAACCGCTTGAAGTTTTACTGAATTTACAGTATTTTTATAAAGTTTGCTTGAGATTAATATTGACACGTTTGTTCATTTCAATTTTCCCAACAAACTTCACCCGTTCAACAGCAAAAACTCGTTTAATTTTTAGTATTCTCTTCTAGCGAGTATTTTTTAACTATTTAACTTAAACCGCATTTATTTAAACATGTACAAATAATCAAATGTAAATATTTATCAGTTTGTGTATTAACTGAACTTTGTGAGTGTGGTTTTATGTTAAAACTCGAAATGATTCTCAAATGTTCATTTCCCAAAACTAGATCCAATTGCAAATGTGTTTGTTTTAGTGCGTGAATGTAAAATGCTAAATGCTGCATGTAGTAAATGGTAAATGGTAAACCATTAATTATATTTTAATACGGGGGTGCGACATGATGGCCGAATGGGCAAACATTGCGTTTTCGGCAGCGGTGGCGGCAGAATGGGTGGGCAGCTGACCGCCGGGCCGCCGTTACAGTTTGTTTAATCTGTCGCCGGCGTATCGTCACCCTTTTCACTCTTATTTCGTACGCAAGCACACAAAATTACAAATTTTCGCTCGAAAATCGCCGCTTGAAAATCGTACGACCAATTTTCGCCAGTAAATTTATGTATAAAGGATGGATAATAACTGTTAGAATTAATGTTTGAGCATTGCGTATTTTCTATAATTTTATTTTATTTTTTTCTAATTATCCCGGCGCATCCACATAATAATTTACTTGTTTTATTTTATTACTTACCAGATATTCCATCGTACGTCCACCATTCCTGCCAGTTGTCACAACCGACTGTAACAAAACATAGAATGATTAATTTTTTGTTTTTAAATACGCTTTTTGTGCATAAAAAATTGAATCATGTTGGAATTATGCGGAATGTTGAAGAAATGCTTTGCGGTGTTTTTATTCACTTCAATTTTCTTCTACATTTATTTCTTTAGCAAGCATTTGTCGACGTTTGTCGAGCATTTGCATGAATTCATGAATTTATGAATTTATACACTTTTCGCGCTTGGGGGTGCGCCACCCCTTAGTCGTAATTGCCGCGTGTCGCTGAACGAGATGAATGACTCGCCGCGAGCGCGAATCGTTTTTATTATTGATGTACCCTTAATACAGCCAAACATTAAGGACTACCGACTAAAGACTAACAAAAAAATATTCCAAACTTAAATAAACAGAAAAAAATTTGTTCAAGGACAAATTCTATTTGTGAGGTTGTTTGACACCCGCAGAGTTGTTGTTAAATCGTTGATTTTCCAACACGAATTAAGTGCTTAATGAGCACACGGCTCGTGCTAGCGAACGAGTTGACGCTTTAATTCGCGACCGCTGTCGCGCTCGATGAAAACGCGATGTCCTTAATTATCCGTCCGCATGATGCCGCCGCCGACGCCACCACCGCTGCCGGGGACAACGACAACGGAGTTTGTTAGAGCGCCCGCGGCGCGAGGTTAAAACTCGCGATGCTAATCGCCGCTCTTCATCCACTCCTCGCCCTCACACTGCGATTCTCACCCCGTATCATTTAGTGTTTTCTTTGTTATTATCCTGTGCGAGACAAGACGGGAGCGTGATGATGTTGGCGGCAGGTCGTTAAGCACAAGAAAGTTAAAGGTTTAAAGTTTCAAGTTCTTAGATTTTCACGCGCTTTAAATTAATGTAATTATATTTCAAATGCAAGAAAAAGAAACAAAAAAATAAGAAATAAATTTTCAGCTTGTTTTCGTTTCATTAGCAATCCGCTGCAATGTGAAAAATTGGATTGCAAAGGTGGAAAACGGGGTGGTAAAAGAAGGATGAAAAAGAAAAACTAATTTTCTAGATTTGCCGTCCCCGAACGCGGCGGTAACGTCCTGATGTTCTCCCGCGTGGCAACAACGACTGTGAACACGCAGTTTTATTTTTCTTCTGCGAAGATTCCGGAATTGAAGAACGAGTCTTCGCACAAAGAGAGTGGTAAAACGCGCGGTTGTGGTAGTAAACGCGAACGACCCGCACTCATCAATGTTGCAGTGCACAACATTGTATCCTGCAGGACCTCCTGGACAACAACCCCAAAAACACAATCATCTACAAAAGATTGTTGAAAATTTAACTCACAAAATACTGTTGTTATGTAAAATTTAATTGTGTATAAACAATGTTTGTTATATTAATTTTAAGGGTGAGTTTTTGATAACACTCTGTATATCACACGTGTCGTGCGTACACGTGTGCCGCCTGTGTGTCTGTGGGGTAACCCCATCGGGAAACTTTTAATTGGATTACAATCTAATTTGGTCACCGGTACGGTGCGCGGCGGTTGGGGGCGGCTAGAGGCGGTCGAATGGGTGACCACACCGCAAAACAACTACGAAACTCTTTTCACTGACAATTCCGACTTGCACACGCTTTATTGCGTTTTGATATTGGAAGATATATTTTGTGAAAATCATCTCTCTGTTCATCTCTTAAAATAAATGTTTATAACTTTTATCTTGTTATTCGAGTAAAAATGTTTAAATCTATTTGTATGACATGGTTACGACTGTGTTATTGTGAATGTTGCCGCTTTCAAAACCGACTGGCGACAGTCTGTCTGGCGCCAAAGGACTTTCCGCTGCCGAATGCGTCCTGGCGGCGCCCGGAATGCACAACAACCACCCCCGACATGACGCTGGATAACTTTATAGATCTCCGTTCGACGATATAAATGTAAGTCGCTGGCAAGATTCCCCTTCGCGTGTGCTCGGATGTTGGAAGAAAAATAGACACAGTGGCAAACTGGCGGCAGCGGCGGCGGCGACTTGCCGGCGCCACGACCACCCTCCTCGCAGGGGATAAAATACTGATAGCTAGACTACTTCGGCCAGATAAAGCTATAAAAATATCGCTGATTTATTTGCTGGAAAATTCCGCATGACTTTAACAAAGCACATTAAAAGCTTTTTGTAAAAATGTGGAAATATTCATTCTACTACATTGTAATAATACACGAAGCGGAAATGTTGATCAACTGATGAGCATCTCTGATTAATCGATTAATTTCCTTAGTTTCAGTGCGTAATTAAAGCTCGAGTAGAGCGTTTCCCATCGGAAAAGCAGGATATAAAGCTATCCGTGCGGTCGGCAGACATATGTGTGAGCTGACGTGCTTCCTTCGCGTTTATCCTGGAAACTCGCTGCCGAAAACGCAAAAGCGAATCACTTATCGTACCATATTCATGGGCGTCCAGTCTGTTTCCTGGCGCTTTCCTTCGTTTAATAGCCGCGCGCTGAGCTTCGGCGAGCTTCCTGCGCTTAGAGCTTTTTGGCAAGAGGATTGATTGAGACGACACACGCTACATGATAAAAAACCTTTTTTGTAACAAAAATCAACAAAAACTCATAAAATAAAATAAAATTTTATTTCCAAAAGTTTTATTTAATAAGTTTGTTTAATTTTGCGCAGAAAAAACCTGATTAAAAGCTTTTGAAAATTCATCAATGTGATTAATAACCAATGTGAGTTTCTCGCCTGTCGCTCGTTTCGAGAGTTTTGGCGACCTGAACGTGACAGGTGCGCCTGATCCTGGCGGACAATAGCCGATGGACACGCACTCCGGCGATCGGTGTTTAAAAGCTCCATCGACAAAATCAATCCGAGCGCCGAGGATGCGACCGAAACAAAGAGTGGCCGCAATATATCTTCCTCTTGTCTGTTATCCTTTCATTTCGTCCTGTGCTTCGCACCGGTCGACATACGACGTGCGTGCTAATTGGAACGTGATTTGTTTACTATTATATTGTTCGCTGATATCCGCACGATATTTCAGCTGCGGATTGACATCTGCACGATTCCAATGGGTTTTCAATCAAAATTCAAAATTACTACTCACAACATTTTGACAATTTCATAAATACGTGATTTGAATTAATTCAACACTCGGTATATTGATATTGTCTTGATTCGAATTCAGATTATGCAGTCATTACGTCTAGTATTAGGGGTGGCTATTGACGTCAGCAAATGCTGTGTATTCAGGGGTGATGACAGGTTATTCCAGTTAAGGGATGAGGGTGAAAATTAAAAATTCAAAAAATTATTTTTTTTAGTTTTAATGAAAATATCCCAAAAATTAATTTTTAAGGGTTGTAAAAAGCCACCCCTAAAAACAACCCTTATTTTTGTTATGTAAAATATGTTACTTTTAAAATAAAAACAACGTGTTAACACATTTTACACTTAATATTAATATTTCTCGGAATGTTTGTGGAAAATGTTGCGGCTTGTTTTCCACCCCAGTCACGCTCATTAAAAACGAATTTGCGTCGGACGCACGGCGGTGAAATAATAGTGCGGCATTAGAATTTCATGATCACGATCATATCCCCGGCTGCAAAACAGTGTCGAGCACTCGTCACACGAGCCCGAACGATTAAATCAACAATCAGTCCAAGCGGCGGCAGTTGTGGCATTGGGGTTGCAAGGGATAGGGCGGCGATAAAGTTATTTATAGTATGTTAATTAAGAGACGCGCAACGGCGAGCACGTCGACGCGCGCGGACGGGCAGAAATGATCGGGAGCCGTAAATCAGGTTTACCCCGACGCACCGGCGAGTTTATTATGCAAATCATCGCCGTTCAGATGCAATGCGATCGCGATCAGGATGCGAATTTGATTTTCCATCAGCGTGCGTAGGCATTGGTCACTTTGCATTATAGCATAACTAGTTGGATCTAGCATTACATGGTTGATGATTGTATGATTCGATGAATTTGTACTGAATTTGCATTAGCTGCTATTGTGTGGAGGCGCTGGGCAAGAAACAAAATTTTAGTGTTTCCAGTTATACCAACACATAATATACAAAATATATATAACACTAAGTATTTTTAGTTAATATTAAGTCCATTTCCGGTTTTCCGGTTTTGATTTTTGTAAAACTTAAAAAATAAAAATTTATTTTTATCGCCAGATATCAAATTCTTTATTTATAGCGTAGGGTTCGGTAGAATGTGAACCCTTACGGTGTTAATAACTTTAAGGATCATGGATTAAAGATTAAGCCATCCTTTATAGTTTTCCGGCTTAATCACCTCGGCGCATGGCGCGAAATTCCATAAATAACGTTCTAAACCGTCTGCGAGTGCATCGTAGTCAAGGATAAAATTATAAATAAATCGCAAAGGCGTTACCGGTAAAGATCAACAACCCCAACGAAAGATTTCCTCCACCCCTTTGACTGCGCGATCGTTACCGCTGATAATTTTCCACTTAATGCGCTCTGTTCGCCGCAATTAATCACCGTTTTCGTTTCGCGCTTACACCTTGCCGTCTAAATGTTGAAATGTTTTAATTGCCATTTTCCATTTTCTGATAACGTCTTTATTGGCGCAAGTCGTGATTATAAATTGAAAATAATCGCCTCGAACTTTCCGCGATCGCTTGCAACCTCAGCGCTTGCCACAATAAACGATTCGAATCAGTTGGAATCAAAGCGCGCGCGGGAGACGCGCATTAATGCGCGCAGGATGCGAGGGGGCGCGCGCAGGGAATTTAAGGACGAAAGCTCCCGCCACGCTCGGGCGCACAATCCGGTGGCGAGCCCGGCAATTTGCATCGAGAGCGATAAGTAATCTAGATACACAAACGCGAATGAAACCGCAATAACAACAACAGCAATCATCGCATACAGAGTGTTGCAAGCAAAACAGTTTGTAATGTTTGTGTGAGTTATGAGCATTGGAGTGTTGAGCATTGTATTCCATGGAGCACATAATTTTCCTCTTGGCTCGTACAAATTGAACAAGTTTGTGCCTCGCT